CTGATTTCCTCCAAGTGTCCTGTCATTGTACAGTGCATATGCAATGAATCAAGAGACGAGGGACGAAGTGGGGGGGAGAAGAGAGGCGAAGGTAGGGAGGTGAGTTGGAGGCAGTGAGTTGGTATGTGTGGGGGGGGGGGGGGGATAGTAGGACAAGCAGAAAGTCGGATATAAACCAGTTAAGCGTGTGAACAATTTCTTCTACGTCACATGCAAAAATAGAACTATGTTGCACTGCTAACCACAAAAATGTCAAGGCCCACCGAGAAGTTCTCAACACTCGCATTCATATTGCACCTCACCAGCACTTGGTGCTGTTTGAATGCATGAGTTAGTGTGTTTGAAATAACACACATAGCTCAAGAATGTTAAAATACCCCCTTTTTTATTGCTAGGACGGATAATAAGCCGCCATTGAACAAACATACAAAACTGCTGGTATTTGGACAGCTACCACCAATGTGACACGCCCATAACAATGAGACAAGCCTGCGTAGGCTTACTGTGACAGTTTTGGAAATGAGTTCCACACTTGTGACAGTATTGGAAGTTCGTCCGTGGTTCTCAGAAAGTAGGATCTTGGACCACCCTGTTCCTGCAAGGGCTTAAAATCCAACATGTGTGATGTTGGAAAACCCAGTCCCCTAAAGTCAGTGCCAGGGTATGGTTTCAACAGTTGTATCCCTGATTCACTGGTTATCATGGTATGGAATCTCACGTGTTCTGCAAGGACCTAAGCTACGTTGATTTATACAAACAGTGACCCTAATACCTCAATTCTCTGGTGTCTTGCACCCACGTGCAATCGTTCACACCACATACACGTTTACCAAGATACAATGGCCGTACAGAGATTCCAGAAATATCAAATCGCGGATGGTTGCAGGAATTGACCCTGTAAGCTTATTGTTGTGAAGATTCCTGATCAGGAATGGTACAAAGACGAATAGCAATGCAAGTTTATGTGGAATGAAACGTCAAAGGTGATGTAAGGGATAGGATACGGTTTGTGAGTAAAGAGATGATGACATAACAAGAAGCAGGAAGATTCATGATAGGGGTGAACAAGGGGTGCAGAAAGGGAAGAGGGGACGGAGGGGTTAGGGAGAGAGAGCAAGGATGACGTGATAAAGGGGGGTTAAGAAACAACAGAAACAGGGGAATGGTTCAAGGGAAGAGAGGGAGGGGGGGGGGGGGGGGGGGGGGGGAGAGGAGGGTAAAAGGTTACGGGAGGGAGGTGGGAGGGAGAGGGAGGAGGGGGGGTTCTTTAAGGTCTTACACAAAGCAGGAAAGGTCTTACAGGTATGCCAGGTCTGCAAGATCGCCTATTCCAGAAGGGATTGATCCACTGAGCTCATTGTTATATAGTCCCCTGTAATGATGAACACGAATTTCAATTCCAAACATAGACATTAACCCCTCGTTGATACCACACATGTGATGGATGCATAATCTCGTTTCTTCTATGAACGTGATGTGTGAAGACGGCGGGGGATAGTGGTAGATATAAGGTGGAGTATGGAAATTGGGAGTATTGTAACGTGGAAAAACAACAAAACAAAACAAAACAAAAACGTCCTTTGTGCACCCCTCCCACTGCCCAGCGCTCAATGTGAGCCGCGCTGCAAGTTATAAGACGACTGGCAATAACAGGAAAAGTCTTTAGAGAGGAGATGTGGGGTGATACTAAGTTCTGGGAGTCTAAGCATACTCCTCACAGGGCCAACAGGTTTGTAAGCAAGCCGATTGTGTCGGGAATGGAGCTAGAAAGGCCATTGTCATAGAGATAACTGCGGTATGTAAAACACAAAGGCAGGAAGATTGCAAGTTTACCACTTGTTCACTGGTGCTTTGGACTAATTGCTTGATAAAACAAGGAACTGCAGCATGAGAATTTACAGGCCATAACACATGGAACAAGATTGATCATAAGCGAGAAGTGTAGTTTGTACAGAGGACAGACGCCTTACAGGAATGTAAGTTCGACAAGATTGCCAATTCCGGAGGGAATTGGGCCTGTGAGCTGATTATCATTGAGTAATCTGTATGGACAGACACGTGCAAATTATAGTCATCCAACAAGAAAAAAACATAGAGAGCGTTTAAATTTTCTCATCAATTCTATCTTCTATAAAATCCAGATGGAGCCACACTGCACACATTTTCTCTGGAAAATGTGAGGGATAGTGTAGGGTTACAGAATGGGGTACAGACAGAATACTTTTCACATATTTCAAGGTATGATGAACACAGTACACAATAAAAACAAGTAAACAGGGGGGTTTGTGTATGGGTTGCGATGTGTGAATATATTCTTGAAGGGGCAACAAAGGGCTGCGATGTGTGAAGATATCCTTAAGAGGCAACAAACGGCTTCGAAATGGAAAACTTCGAGCTAAAAAGATAGGCAAGGGGAAGACATCACCTAGAACGGGTGATAGCAACATTATAGGAAACGAACGCACATGTAACGCATTGCTACCCACTGGGTCGAAACAAGGGTGCGATTAAGGCGCAGAGGATGCCTTTTACATGGCCCACAGGCGCTCGAGTATATATTATTTGCTAGAGCTGAAGTTGGAACAAACCAGGCTGTGCATCACACAGGACGTGCAGATGAGCACGAACAAGGTTTTTGATATGAGAGATGGTATAAACGTTGTGAGTGGAGTGCCATGCCCATACAGTTCTTTAAGTGCAGTCAACGAGCCAATGCTAGTCGGAATGGAGCCAGATAGCTGATTTCCCCTCATTGTCCTGAGATTGTGAGGAATGGAAGGAAGACTTCATTGATATGATCGATGGCAGGTGGGAGGAGCTGATAAAATATGAAGAACTGCAGGACATGAACACATGACATTCTTTTCTTTTAGAGCGTTGTTATTACTATGCCCGCTGTCTCAATTTCAGAAAAGATTGTCACATCATTGGCATGGTTGCGCAACCTCCCTGAAGGCCCAGAAGGGAAATAAAATGTGAATGACAAAATGTTGTCATCGTACAGGGATTCCAAGAATATGAAGTCGCGAATTCCAGTGGGAATTGAGCCTGTGAGATTATTGCTGCTGAGACTCCTGTGGATGGCAATGAGATTGGGGATGAGCAAAAGTGGAAGAAATACGATTTGGAGGTTTGGATTTTTGCATGGCGATGGTGCAGGGCAACAAATGAGATGGGTGAATTGAAAAGAGAAGACGAACCGAGAGACAGAACGAGTAGAGAATAATTCGGCAAAGAAAGATGCATAATAGTGGTGTTACATTGTCACCATTGCGTAAACCTTTTTTCGCACCCATGGACTTGCCACCCTGGTGTAAAGCTCCCGGCTCTAGACGCCTTTGTAGGACAAATCAATAATCACTAGCTATCACGAGCCAAGAAACCTGTAACACTTTATGATCCGCATGAATGTCAGGGTCTTACTCTAGAAGCAAGTGATTCAGCAGCTTCCTTAAGTTGTGTACATCCATACTTGGATACTCGGATACCATTCATGCAAGTACCACGTATGTCATTTGGGAGATGATGACAGGTTAAGAAAATAAGAATATAACACTGAGTGAAGCTGTAGGAATGGACGTTGGACAATATATAGCATATAATGTTTGACAACTGAAACCAAACAAAACATATCAGAGGCCTTACAGGGCTTCCAAAGCTTTCAAATTGCTGATTGAAGATGGGATACTGCCTGTGAGCTTATTATTTTCCAAACATCTGGGATGGTGAAATACATGCAGGCCAAGAAACAAGGATTACATGGAAATCACGAGAAGGATGGAGCAAGCACATACGTTGATAGGCGGAACTAGGTAGAGTAGCATGATGGCAGTTTGGTGGAATGTGGGCAGACAAAAGCAAAGGGATAGTCAGCAGCGGTGGAATCAATAGAAGGGTCTTCTTTAAAAAGTACAAGATTACTGGAGAAGCTCAAAGCCGTACACCTTCCAGTCAGTCAACTCTAGCAAGGCTACTGCCAGATGCTGAACTCGTTTTCTGGCTTGGCGAGTGTGTGATCCTGTGTCAGATATCATCAAAACATACCCACCCTCTTTGTTGCTGTGTACTAAAAGCAGCATATGGCACGTGTAATAATGTCCACACTCATATTCTTCCCTCGAATGGTGATATAGAAATCTCTCACAACCTCATCATTTTCTACAGTAGTGGTCTAACCAGTGCAGTTCACTCACACTGTGAACACGCCGTCGAAGTGTGAGCTGTATGGAATGGAAGTGGATTGCTGGGTGTATACAAAATAATATGGGAAACGGGTTGACGTACTAACCAGGAGGAATAGGTGCGCGAGTGAAGGAGATAAGGGAGCGCAGCAAACAGGTATCCTTACAGGTACGCGAGTTGTGCCAGAGATCCAATTCCAGCAGGGATTGAGCCAGTAAGCTGATTTGTATCAAGATCTCTGCGACAAATAGGAATCAGAAAGGTGGTACAGATGTAGGTTGCAGTTAACTTCTAATGAAACCAAGTGTGGAATACTAGTACATAAAGAACAGTATACACCAGCGTAGTGGACACTGTCTTGCCAATGGTACTTGTGATACACCAACCGCCACCCTAGGCTACTGGGCGCCCTAGGTAAGCAGAGACCGAACTCGCACTGCATTAATTTCTGCAGACATGCGTTCTTTCATCAGTCCGCCGCCTAAAACCGTGTCCTAATGTATACAATGTATCCAGTCCATAGCCACGCTATGCAGCGGGAGCATGACAGAACGGCCGAGTCCACGCCTGGCCACTCGAGCTGGCATACAAGTGGACGTGAACAGCTTCAATAGACTGCGTCTCCTGTTGAGCTTGCCACGAGCTGAACGCACGACCCTTCGACGAGGCTGAAGGAACCTTGGGGCTTGTCGACAGGGCGTGAAGAGGTTAAAAAAAAACCAAAAATGTTCATTTCGAACGTCATGTTCTCTCTTGATTTTCCTCGGTCGTCCATAGAAAACTCACTTACCAAATGTACCCGAGAAAAGGGTGTAAAATTAAACGAAGAGAGGGGAGAGAGGGAGGGGAGGGGGGGGGGTTGGGGGAGAGGGGGGGGAGGATGGGGGGGAGGCGAGGGGGGGCGGGAGGAGGTGGGGAGGAGAGGGGGGGGAGGGGAGGAGGGAGGAGTGGAGGAGAGGGGGGGGGGGGAGAGGGGGAGGGGAGGGGGGGGGAAGGGGGGGGAAGGATTGGGGGGATTGGGAGGGGGGTGGGAAAGGGGGGGTGGGGAGAGGGGGGGGGGGAGAGGGGGGGGGAGGGGGGAGAGGGGGAGGAGGGGGGGGAGAGGGGGGGGGGAGGGAGGGAGGGGGGAGGGGGGGGGTGGTAGGGGTAAAATCTGGAGAGGACTGGTTGCCAACCAGTGGGCAGACGGAAGGGAAGGGCTTTTGTGCCATGTTCGTTCCTGGTTGAGGAGTTTCGCAGCTCGTCACGAGCCAGTCATTGCTCATGTGCATAAAATGAGAAGGCGGTGATCACAGGGCTGAAACTAACGCGAAGAATCAGGAGCGGGATGAACAGATGGGAAGCGCACACCAACCAGAGTGATCTGGGATTCCTTACAGGTATGCCAGGTTCGTAAGTTTGGAAACTTCAGGGGGAATGGGGCCAGTGAGCTGATTGTTGTACAGCTCTCTGTGAAGATGATCGTGTAAGATACAGGCTTCACTTAAAGTGAAAAAGGAGCAGCACAGGAGCAAGCAAACCGCACTGGTAGACACAATTCCAAGATGTTAAACAAATACAGGATGATCACATCAGAACAGGAGTCAGCGGGATGGTAGGAACTTTGAGCAGCAGAATTCAAACTGTTCTATCCCCCCTTCCCTTCCTCCTCCCCTCCCCCCCCCCCCCCCCCCCCCTCTCCTCTCCCCATCCTCCTCGTCCTCTAACCATCCTCCTCTCCCCATCCTCCTCCCTGCTCTCCCCATCCTCCTCTCCCCATCCCCCTCACACCCCCTCTCCCACCCCCCTCCCCCATCCGCACACCAAGTCCAACCTTGCCCTTCAATCATACAGGCGGTCAAGGTTTCGATGTGGACATACAGATACGATAACTTTTTGAGGTTGCTGATAGAGCTTGGGATACTCCCCCGAAGAGTCTGGGACTGTATGGATCTGCATTGAAACATACAATAACACAATTTTTATTCAGCCATAATCAGCTCAAATGAGAGGTTCTTGCTCATGGCACGAGGATGTGACTGACATGGTCGTCACTGTGGGTACTCCGGAACTTTGCAGGGTCATCAACTAACTGATACGAGGTGTTCTCACATCTCCAGGATCATCCCGCTCCAGTCGCATGTAATGCCGTTAGCAGTGCTGCACTCAGGCGTTGCGCCACTCCATCCAGGAAAGGTCTGCCCCCATGCCGTCTGGCAGTCCTGCAGGAATCGCGCTGCAGGTTGGTGGAGGGAGGAGGGGTAGTTGTTGGAGGAGTGGGGGACGAGAAGGAAATCCGGGAGTTGGTGCTGGATTTGATAGCAAGGTCACGAGGCGGTATAGGTGCAAGGAACAAACGTACTAAGTAGGTATACGGCCTTCTTCGAAGCCACACCATGCTTCTGATAATGCTACAAAAACTATCAATGGCGCGTTACTGAAATGGGTGCGGAGTGCAGTTGGCGGGGAGTGGTACAACATGAACCATAGAGTCTACGTTCCAGACATCCAATCGGGCTGGGACGGAAGTGACTCACCTTGCGTAGCCTGGAGCGGCTGTGCATTAACAGATGATGTGGCAAGAACGGCGAGGGACCATGCGAGTGCCAGCGCGCACTGCACGCGCTCACGCGTCATTTCCTGGCGGCGGCTTACCGCCGCCCGAATCGGACTGGAGCGCCGCATGCTGCCGCTCCGAGGGGGCTGCCACCACGGCCGCCGCTGTTTCTTCTCGGATCGCGCTCTGAGTTACTGTTACGCAGTAGAACGGGTTCGGACACGCAGGTGGTCTCTATATAGTGCTACTTGACTGCTTACTGCTATAGCTAGTGGTTGTCCAGCGCTGGACCAAGTCTAATTGAGAGGATGGTGAGAAAACACTGAGCTCAGTATGTTGAGCAGAAAGATGGGCACGAGTTTGGGCAAGGAAGTGTGTGAAGTGGGCAAAAGGTGTTGTTCGCAAACACTGTCCGAGAACTCGGGCGGTTCAGTACGTGAGAACAGGGCTGAACACAGTTTCAGCTTTCCACCGATCTCAACCGTTGCCCACCAGACCGCACCTTACGAAGTGAATGTAGAGAGTATGACCGCGCGATGGATGTGCGAGCGCAGTCCTCTCTTCACTGGAATTGGGTAAGGTAGTGGTGCAAGGATGGGGAGGGATCCCCTGTGCGCAGGTCTCTGCGCGGAAGATCAACCTAAGTCCTTCGCTTCTAACAGCAAGCTCGCTCTCTGCATCTACGACCGAGAGTGTTAAGGGGTGTCCGAAGTGAAACGTCGACATCCGCTGACATCCGTTTGGGGATGTCGATGAAAATCAGCCATCGGATCGGGGATTCCGACCGTCAGGATTCGCCGACATCCGCTGACATCCATCGACGTTTCACTTCGGACACGCCCTGCATTACGTTGGGACTTCGTTTTTCGTGATCCCTAGTTGTCTTTTTCATAGCGACACGCCACCCACGTGACTCGGGGGGTTGTCTGTCAGCACTGGAATGACAGCGTGCTTCGCAGCTCAGCACAAACCATTCTGGCTTTGCCAAGGACCTTACTGTACATTGCTATCTTTTGCGCTGACTCAGCCTAGGACCTAACTGTACATTACCATACTCCGCGCTGACTCAGCCAGGACTCCCATAAATTGCTGCTGATTTGACAGAGACTGACCCTCGCAGACCTTCGCATGGTGCTGAGCACCTTTGCAAAAGGCTCCACTCCGGAATTTTTTGATTTGGGTTGATTGAATACTTCAAAAAGGACATGCATACACATGATGCTCAACTGCTGCCCGCGAATTTGCCTGCCCTTGTACATTCAGTGACCACCAACAATTGGTGGAGGGAAGTTGCATCCCGTTTAAAGGACCCCATGAGCAAAATGCAGTGATGATAGAACCAACGATAACGGAGCGACCATCGTCAACTGTCAATGCAGTGATGAGGAACCAATGGAAACGAAGAGAACGACGTCAAAGTGTCAACGTGTAACTATTGAGTTTTTTATAAGCCTTTTTTTGCCACTCTAATCGGGCCGAAGCTAGGCCCCTTCTTCCGAAGCCCGTGGCCCGGAGGGGGCCGATGCCTTCGGCATCGCTAGCCCAGCACGCGAAGGGAAACCAGGATGGCATTGGGGCACGCGGCCAACCCCTTAGCGTGATTTCGGAGGGCCGACCCTTCGGCACCTGCCAGGTACACGAGGCCTCAACTGCCCCTGGGAAGCACGCTGACTCAGTGGTGGGGACCACACCCTCGTTCGGCTCGAAACACCAGTGATCCGTCGTGTAAGGTCCCCGTTACAAAGTAAAGATTAAACAAAAAGTCATAACGAAAAGTGAGGCAGCATCTCATAAAAATTGCCCCCCCCCCCCCCCCCCCTCAAAATTCCAACCTGCACTGATTTCACAAGGTGTAAGCGCGAAGGAATTGTGTTTACGAAAATACATTTCGTTCCGCTTGTCAACCACGATGCCACGCCCTTTTCCCACGAAAATGTACTGGGCTTGCACTTAGTCGCGGATTTTTTTCCCAGCGCCCCTCTTTGTTTCGGGTTGTAACAAATCTCCACCCACCCCCCTAAACCGGAAAAAATTGTTGATGCATTGCTGAGTGCTGGCTGTCAGTAGAGCTACACTGTGAGATCCCCGATCGATCCTAGGGGGGGTTACAGGCGCGTTTGCCTGAGGGGTTATGGGCGCACTGACCCGCTACTAAAACAAGCCCTTTTATCCCAATGGTCTAGTGGTTGGGATTCTGACATGGTATCAGAGCAGTCTCCGGTTCGAATCCCGGTGTATGCACATGTTGGTCGTTGCCACTGTGCTCAGTCCTGGGCCTCCCAGTGTGGGGGGGTGTCAATAGAGCTACACTGTGAGATCCCCGATCGATCCTAGGGGGGGTTACAGGCGCGTTTGCCTGGGGGGTTATGGGCGCACTGACCCGCTACTGAAACAAGCCCTTTTATCCCAATGGTCTAGTGGTTGGGATTCTGACACTAGCACCAAAATTCGCGGAAACGTATGTTCGAGCGCGTGTAAATACCCCGAATGTTCGCGGGTTTTGCCTGCTGACCTAGCTCTGTGTGTGGTGTTTCCGCGTCGTCGCGAGTGTATATCACGAATGAACGGACTGATATAGTGAGAAGGAAACAAATTTATGGGCGTGAAATATCCGCCATGGAAACAGCATGGTCATAAAAATTATAGCGATAGTTGTGACGCGAAAAAAAAAAATAACATTTCAAAAGGTCACGAGACGTGAAAATGTTGTCAACGATATATCCAGTTACAGCCTTGGAACTGCTGTAAAACGTTTTGTACCGTACTTGACCGCAGGATACAGAAAAAATGTCCACCGTGTTCTTCCTAAAACGCACACGCGAAAGGTTATCTGCTTCGCGGGTGGATATCACGAGGCGAGTTCGCAACTTCCAGATTTTTGCTGCTCGGCTTCTATTTCTGTAGTTTGGTTTAACCCAAAAGCTGCGAGTATTTTCGCGCGCGATACTTTACAGGGTGGCTCGAAAATTTTGGCTGCTAGGTGGCGCAAAAACTCTAACTATCGCAAAAAAAGTGTGTGTGCTATACTGTACGAACTGTGGTGGCGCATGATTGATCCGTGGATGTCGGCTGTTTCCTGCAAATAGCCGGTTAGTTTCGCGGATTTCTAGCTGTCACTGCAGCGGGTTTCGCGCCTTGTTTTCATAGGATGGCACAAAAGGTCTTGCCCCCGTCAAACGCCGGGGCGAGTATTTTCTGGGAGGTTGTAAACTATGACCCGTTTCGTGTCTTGTTGTTGTTTGTGTTTCGGGTCAGCACTCAAGTAGGTCAGTGGTTCACGGTCACAATTTATATTTCTGGTTCGCATTTAGGGCTCCAGTACGTTCAACATCGTAAGAAAACGGTTATAATCGGTTACAACCCACAACCGTACTCAAAACTTTCAGAACCGTATTAAACCGTATGAAAAAACAATACGTCAAACGATGACCCTCGTTAAACGAGGAACTTGCATTCCGGACGAGAAGAAGGATGAAATGAAAATGCCCACCATCGTGCAAGTTGCGTCAGGAACGCCAGCGCGAAATGGCATTTGCACACTCGTAAACGCCCCAAAATTCGTAGCACGAGAAAGCGATTCGCTTTGCCGGTATGTCCCCCTTGTGTTCGCAGATTCCTAAGCTTTTGCTACGCAATCCACGATTTTAGCTTGATTTGTTCTTGCAATATCGGGAATTTTCCCCACGCAAGGTTTTTCACTAAATGTGCGCAAACTAAAAATGTGTTTCCGCAAAACGCACTTGCGCTGTACGTGCGATGAGTGTGCCACGGACGCCAGTGGCGTCTCTGCTCATGCATGAAGTACGATGCTGTTCGCGGTCATGATAAATCTCGTCGGGGTTTATGAGGAAAATAGAACGAGAATGAATGAACTATGAATGAAGTGGGTACAAGTACTAACCCTAATTGGGTTGTACCCCCTATGGGATACCCCACTACAGCCTACACAAAAACATAAGCTATAATGTTCTGACACACCCCCATAGGCAAAGTGGGGGAGAACAGGGGGTCACAAGACCAGTCAAGCAAAGCAAAGCAAAGCAAGCTCAGGGTGGATCACAACGTCACCACACAATCCGAGCACAAGAGCAAGGCCACAAGGCCAGTTCATGTCAGAACATTATAGCTTACTTATTTGTGTAGGCTATAGTGGGGTATCCCATAGGGGGTACAACCCAATTAGGGTTTCCTATTTGTACTCACTTCGTTCATAGTCACTTCATTCTCGTTCAATTCTTCTCATGGAATCAGAGCAGGTCCCCTCCTAGGGACTATTCCTAGGGCCCACCGAAG